GACTTGCTATTTAAATGTTTTTAACACCTTAACACCTTCTCACGTCTGACTGAAAACACAAGGTTTCATCACTCAAACAATGCAAACCAATTTAAGATCCTTACTTTGTAATAAGGCTGTGTACATAAGAAATATCTGCATTTTCGTACTTTTTTCCCTCTTTTTTGGTGCCCTTTGTTGACTCACAATAGAGCAAAGAATAATAAAGGTTAGTTTACTATTGCACTCATAAGATGGTGTTTTTTTGACAACCAAGAAACAGTTTTTCCTGGAAACAATTAGATTTGACTTTTGTCACAGTTTTACACAGAGCTAAGGTACAGACTTCTGCATCAATGCTCCCTCAGTGTTTTCCCACACTTCACTATATTAACAGCCACCCGAGTATACTTGGCAACTAATTTAAGCAGTTTCTTTGTATACAAAGGGAGAACAAATACGTTTGAAAGTTCAGCTGCTGGTAAACAACTAGCCACGGTCTCACTGCACAGACATGCCTCTATGCCAAGCTCACCAAGATTGCAGAGCAAAACCGAGACTGCCGCCAGCTGTAGTACAAGACGGAGGAGTTGGAGAGACTCACTGGAGAGGCACCAGGTTACATTGCTATCTGTTACTTCCCTGTCACAAAGAACGTGGTCAGTGTAACATTTGCAGAGTCCTTTCTGCTAGAAAAGAAATCTAAATCGGTGAAGAACGCCGTAACATCAATATTTCTTGAGAAATTTGGCTCTCGCCAAATATTTTCCCAGTTAACAGAGTTAAAAAAGTCTTACATGTGGAGACTACAACACTTTTGCAGGTCTTTGTCTCAGTTGACTTTTTTCCCACCTCCCCAAGAATGCGAATCACCTCAGTATCATGTGATTTAAGGTGAAGGTTTAGGCATCATGAGCTTATGATGACAGCAGCAGCGGCGCAAGATCGGATCCTGCTTGTTATATTCTCGGCTGCTGCTACACTCAAACATGACCTATACTTCTTTAATAAGAGAAATATACTGCACAGTTGGTATAAGAATCATCAAGTTGAGCAGAGTGAAGCGTCTTTTTATTGCTTTTCTTTGTGAGTGAGCTGAGGTGTCAGCTCTCACAGTGTGAGCCAAACACTGAGCTCCTGCTGTTGTGCAATCACTCTCTCGATGTAGCTCCAGGCTGCTCTCAGAGTCTCTTCAAGAAACAACAGATCAACTTTTTACCATCTCGCGTCATAAACATGAAGCCATTTTAATACCTGCAGGGGTCGGATAGTCACTGACTCAACTCCAGGCTGATAGAAATAACCTTGTTCTTTGTTTGGGGGTGGGGTACTTCTGTTAATTACTTTTTAGAGAAATCGCTTTATCTACAAAATGTCAGAAAACAGTGTCTCCGTTTGTGTCTAAGTGTCCTAAAATATCAGTTCTCTGTAATCTAAACAGCACGTTCTCTCCTTAGAGAAGCTGGAAGCAGAGACTGCGTCACATTGTCGGGCGATAAGTAGTTTCCAAATAAACCACTTGTATTATTTACTGTTAGTCACAGATACTCACAAACTGGCAGTATTTAAATCCCTTTCTCACAGTGGGATCAACTTAATCCTGTATAATTTATAACATTTGTTGTAAGTCAGGCTGATGAAGTGAGTTTTGCTTTAAGTACCATAACTAACCAAGCTGTGCTCAAGATGAGTATTAAACGTTAGTGTCAAACGTTTGTGGTCTCCTTCTTTGCAGTTTGCTGGTTATTTGTTGGTTTGCTGATCATTACACTGATTTGGGGACTTTTAAAGGGAGTCCGATTTTATGACTTTGCTCCCTTTCAAGAGCTTTTCAGCAGAATATTTCACACAAAAGAAAGTTTAGTTAGTATCAGTAAATGAAGGCATCTATAAATAGTCTGTGTTTTAGGCGTTTAGCATCAGTGTACCTGAAAAAATGCAAAGAAAAAGTTGCTTCGTTAATATTTTGACACTAATTTTGGAAACTTGTGCAATGTGTCTGTGAGCTGAACAGCTCTATTTTTCCACTACAAAGTAGGTTGGTGATATAGGTTTTTACTTGCCTGTTTGTTAGAAGGATTACTCAAAAAGTCATGGATGGATTTCTTTCTTCTTCTTCAGAGGTGGGGTTTGGCCCAGCTTAGGGCAGATTAACTTTTGGACTTGTTCCAGATCTACTCATTTTTGAAAGGTTCCTTTACTACTGAGAGATCAAGCAAATTTAATAACGGGACAAATCAAACTGAAAAACAAAAAAAATACTGGGACACATCATCTTGATGAGCTCGAGAAAATCTCATAAACTACCTCCAGATCCTTCTGGACTCGGCTCATGCATGGTGTGGAGGGGATTTTCAGCCTTGCACCGCTCTCCTCTTTCTTGTATTCTGTACTCTCTTATTATTCCAAACATCGGCTGTTGGGGAAATGCATCTAAAGCTCACGCTTATCGAATTTCTAAATCTACATCAAACTAAACTGTCAACAGATGTTCTTCTGCTAAACCCTCAAATGTCTCTTTCTTAAGTTTAGATACTTAAACATCCCCGGCAATAGCACAGCTTAGATATTATGAAAGCCTGGAATTATTTACAGGCAGGGAACATATAAAATATGTGTCGGATGACTAAAAGAGAGCTGTTAACAACTTAAAAATTTGAAAGTAAAAAAGTTACAGCCATAACTGATGTGAAAACCATGTTTTTTTCCATTACAACTGTGTCAATATTGTTCAAGAAGACTTTTGACCACTGTGCTGAGCCTGGCACCGCTGACTCAGTGTTTAAGACTGTCGACTGACAGCAAGAGGGTCCTGGGTTCAAACCAACCAGGGCAGGGCCTTTGAGTGGGCAGTATGCATGTTCTTCCTGTGGTTTTCTCTGGAAGCGCCAGTTTCTCCTGCCCTACTGCCATTGAAAAACATGCTGCCTGTGTGAGCCAGTAACACACCCACAAAACATGATTCTTATTATTAAGACCTCTTCCTGGTTAAAGGAATAAGATAACAGCGCAGTAAATAAGAACACCGTGACCTTGATTTATTCATTTTCAACATTAAGTGGCAAAAATACTTGGTAAATGTAGTATCATCATCATTTTTGTCCACAACCTGCATGTTTTTGGTCATATTTGTCCATTTATGTTTGCATTCTGCTTTTGCATATGTTTACTTTTGAGCCACAGATGAAATAAGGTTTGATGATGATCATAGCGATATGGAAAACAAACGTACTGGGGTTTGCACTTCAAGGTCTGCTGCTGTGAGCCATAAGTTCATCCTTGTAACGTGAGCTGACTCAGTGCTGAACATGAAAATAAACCAAACACGATCCCACTGCAGGTGAAGAGGTCAGCAGCAGCACGCACACACATGGACCTGCATGCAAATACACTGTACAAGCTTATAATAACACGGCAGACTACGAACTTTTACACCAAAGTTCTGTAGATGCATCTCTGCACGCAGGACTCTCACAATGCAACCGGAAGTCCTGCTCTCTGATTGGCAAATCCTATGTGCGCTCACTTGAAGCAGTTAACAAGCTGTTCTAAATTAAACGGCAACAGTACCTGCTTCAGTGTGCTGTCTGACTGGTGACATTAACTTACTGTAAACTGCAAACACATGCAATGTCTTTGCACACAAACATGATAATGAGCTCTCTCTTTACACGATAACAACACAACCACAGCAGTTCACAGTAAAATATACAGAAGACCTCCTGTATTTAAGCACTGTGATTTATGCTCACTTTGGTGCAAATGCCTGGCTTTGATTAACTTTTCACTTTGGTGCTAAACCTGTTACACATTGTTCCTTTAAAAGGCTTCACAGCTTCTGCCATTAAAGGACTTTTCTAGTGCATATATATTATCAACAGAAATACAAACACAAACTAATGCACAGCGAGCTGTTCTGCACTTGTCTGCATCCTGCAATACTTTATTTCAGTCCACACAAATTGTGTATCCCCATCAACAGCCTATAGAACTTTACCATTTACTCCACTGAAGGCTAAGGAGTCGTTAACTGGTGCTGCAGGGAGGCTGGTGCCAGAAGGTTTTTGCTATTTTTTTCGCTATCAACAAGTCGTTTGCACCACTGGTTGGTATTTCGCATTAGACCAGTAACATATTTTAGCCCTGGGGTCCCCTCACCCCTATAGAGTGTGCTAGTACAATTTATAAACATCTAGAACCAGATGAGGTCCGAACACGAATCTACAAGTGAGCCGTGAAGTTGGTCAGTTTGTTTAAAAAAAAGCTATCACTAAAGAAGTCATCAGTCATCATCCAGGTTAAAACTCCTTCAGTCTGTGTGAAGCAACCTGTTGTCAAATCATTGTGAATATTTGAAAATGCAACAATATAAAAAGATGTAATGAGTAAGTATCTAACTACATCAGAAGACAACAATCGAGCCCCCCTACAGCGCATGGTGTTAAACATAATCTGGAAGAGGGATGATTGTGAAACAGGAACTACACTTCTATCACCTTCTCTTTTAGGGAAAAAAAACATTTCTATACCTTGAAACTTGAAACACATCATGACCAACTGAACTAAAACATCTAACCTTGTGGGCTTTTTCCAATATCGTACTTTTCATCTTCAAGTTTTACGTTAAACAGTTTAGTTTTGCCTTTATGTCCTAAAAGATTAACAGTAATTCACTGACTATTTTATTTCCTACACATTTTTCTACAGTATTCCCAGGATTTTGAAACTCCTCCTCTCTGCAAACCTAATCACACCTTTGTTTTCTGACTGATCTTGTTCGGACGGTAAATGAGTAAATATCTATTTGCAGCTGGTTGCATGTTCATGTCTTGATTATTTTTCCTGCATCTTTCTCAATACAACAAAGAAGAGATATGATGTCCCATCTCATCTAGGCCTCGATGTAAAGAATCTGATTTCTGCCCTGTTACCATCATGCACTTTCATCATCACGAGTTTTCCCGCAGCGTGGATCCTCCGCTCTGTCCTTTCAAACCCACAGAAAGTGTCAGCTGGTTTACCTGTCCGCAGTTTCCCTCCGGGTCCACACCAGCAGCGAGCCTCTCTCCGCTTCGATTCGTTTTTCTCGGAGTGCAGTCCGGCTCCTCTTGAGTTTGTTGTCGGAGACAGACGTAGGAGCTCACAGGATCATGGTGGACAAAACTAACGGTGCCTTTACCTCCCCGATGCTTCACTTACGCGACTTTTTACTTTACTTCTTTTGCTCTTATTCTACTTTTAACGCAGCAGTTTGTTGAAAGAAGAAGACATACGCCAAGGAGAGAGGGACAGAAAAAAAGTTTCTGTGTATTTACATCACATCCCGTTTCCGAAGAGGCGGAGGAGGAGGAGGAGGA